GCCTACCCGCAGCGAGTCGATGGAGGTGGAGATGGCCGCCTAAGCGCGACGCGAGGATCTGTAGAAGAAAAGGTTTGGTTAGTATCTGTCTGCCACCCAGTTATGCGCCCACTCCCCCTATGCCTATGCCTGGACTATGCTCGCTCCCCTATGTTTACGCTCGGACTACGACTGTGTACTGCTCATGTACTTCCCGGGGGTGTATGCCTATGGAGATAAGCGGCCTGGCCGCATAGACGAAACCTCCCGCCCCCAGAGCACCAGTCCACCGCAGTGGAGCAACCCGTCGAAGCCAGCCCGAAGGTAGGCGTCCGCGCGAGCCACAGCCACCACAACAGAGCGATGCTCTGAGCGGGGAGGCCCCGTTCATGAGCCAGGTACCCCGAGAAGGACCCGAGGAGGAGCTCGCGCACGAGGCGCGAGACTCGCAGCCTCAGGTCACCGAGATCTGCGCGCGCGAGCGGGATCTTGGGGCCGCGCGCGCGCGCGAGCACGCGTACAACGCCGTGCATGCGAAGGAAACGCCATCCCGGCCGTGTGCGACGAACAACGTAGTCAGTACTTACCAAATGCCCGTGGCCATGCCCGTGTGTGTGTCCCAACGCAACCCCAGCCGCTGCCGAGCGCGCTGATGAGACATCCCGATGTTGACGGCGCGATCTTGAAGCTACACGCACGCGCGTACACCCGCGAGCACGCGCAGGAACGCCATGCGAAGGGCCAAGCAGCCGACATCGAAGTCCTGGCGACGAGCAGGCAAGTCTTGAGCCTGCGAGGAGCGAGGCGTAAGCACAACGAGCTGTTGAGCTCGGATTACGCGCGCGCCGGAGACGTAGACACCGAGAGAGCCGACGAGGAGAAGCCAGAGGTCGTGCGACGCGAGAGAGACCGAGGAGAAGAGAAGTGAGACCGAAGAACAGCCGCAAGCCCGGGAACTAACCCGAGCTTGCAGCACCGAAGAACGACCAGCAACACCGAGGCATCGAGGACAGCCGAAGAACGATGAAGAGGAGTCGAAGAAGCACCGAGGGAAAGCGAGAGAACGGTGAGGAGGAGGAGGCAGACGACGTCGAGGACGAAGGAGGCAGCGAGCGAGGCCCCAGGGCAAGTGCCAGCAGCCAGCGCCCGCGAGAGAGCCAAATCCGGCAGGCCACGCGCTGAGAGGTCACGCGTCGAACAGCCACGCGCGAAGAAGTCACGAGCCAAGAGGTCACGTGACCGGACCGAGTCCGACCGAGCACGCGAGCCACACGCGTCCGGAAACTTTCCGAAAAGGGAAGCCCCGGCCCCGGACGACCCCGTTTGGACGCCCCAAGCCGGCAAGCGCCCAAAACTACCCAATTTGGAAGGAGCCCGACCCGAGACTTAGCTCTGGCCCCGGAACTAACGGCGGAGATTGAACTTCGGCTTCAAAACACTAGTTCTGACCCAGAAAACTCCAGAAAAATTCCTACAAATTGCTGAAAAATTCCTATAAACCCCAGAAAAATTATGGGAACCCCAGAAAAATCAGGGCATCTTCTAAGGAGACCTACGGAAGATTCCAGAAGGTACCCGAAGGCTGCGCCAGCCAGGAATATAAAGGGAACAGCTAGGACAGCCAGGGAAAATCATCACTCCTCCCCACTTTCATCACTCGACAGCCCCGCAGCCCACCCAGACACTCCGGACCAGAGCTATCCAGCCCAGAAAATATATTGGAGAAACCACTCTACCCAGGAAGTCCAAGAATGCCAATGAAGAACCCCACCTTGGAAAAGAAGATCCAGGATATCGAAAAGGACGAAAAGAAGCGCCGCTCCCGTGCTGCACGCTTTGCCGCCCAGAAGCATAAGAGAGAAGGAGACTCTCGCAGACAAGTCATCGCCCGAATAATCAACAAAGCAAAACAGGAGACGTACGCTCAAAAGCGGGAGATGCGCAGGCCTACCTTTGGAACAGGAAGCCCGCGAGACAGGCTCATACGCCCTCGGTTGTAGATGGAGACTTCATCAATGACTGTGGGGCGGAGGGCACCACTGCTTGGACTATTCAGGACTAGACTACCACATCAGGAACGGACCAATATCTCTTTTCTACCTTTAGGAATAAGATCAGCTGTCTCTGACCCTACTCAGGAAAGAAACACCTACCAAATCTTTGCGCAGGAGCAGTATACCGTCTTTGTCTATGATGGAGGACACAGCGACCGACGAATCCGTCTCGGCCAGGAGTTGATTCTACATGAATCGACA